AAAAAAAAAAAAAAAAAAAAAAAAAAAAAAAACATCTTTTTTGTACAAACGGCGTTCCATATCAAGCCAGTTAGGAGAAAAAAACTTTTGACTGAATCACGTGATAAATTATTATCCAATGTAGTGAACAAAACTATCCTTTTGCAGGAAGTACCATAAATCAGTGAAGCCATTTTTATTAATAATGTAATTGTTATTTATTTGTGTATACACTTACAGAATTTTTCATAATGTTGCTTGATTTATAGAAACATTTGAAATATTTATTAATCTTATAAAATGTCTCAATCGACATCTTATCCTTTCTATCACAGAGATATATTGATATATACTGAAAAATTCCAGTAATACATAATGAACTTGAAACTTACAGCTCATTTTAATCAATTATAAATTGCAAACTAAACAGTTTATTGCAATCCTTAGCACCATCCAATGATGACGAAATTCTGTCAGTCAGGCAGATTCCTCAGTGAGAGGAGGGTCATATATCATAAACGTCACATATTTCCTTATTTGAAAATATAACAGGAGGCCTGTTGACTGAATTTTCCAATGCTGTACACTTGAAAAACTTAAGTCTCAGTCACTAAAGCCTCCACTGCTGTCATCTGAAGCACTGTCACTAAAATCTGAAGCATCATCGTCTTTATTTTTAGTTTCTTCTCCCTCTGGGGCAGGAGCATCTGGAGTTCTGAAAAAATACAAGAATCACAAAATGATAACACATACAAGCATTAAAGTGTTTTCATTATTCCAATATCTATTGCCAAAACTAAAAGTCATCAGCTAGTTTTTATGTTATGCACTGAATTATATCATTTAATTTGCAGGTGTATGACTCTTTTAACTGACTGCTTTTTTTCAAAGTGTTTCCAACATTTCTCCAAGCTGCCATACAGGTTAAAAACTGATACAATAAATCACGAATAAATGTGAAATTTACTCATTTTGCTTACTCATAAGGTTGGAAATTTTGTAACTAATAAACAAAATTCAAGAGCCCCAAAATCGAACATACTCTAAAAGATCTGGATTTAAACCTTCAGCTAACATTTTTGGCCTCACAGCTGCAGCAGGAACTCCCTGAAGAAGGCAAAAATACCCAAAACTATTATAACAGGGTGCAAAAATAGGATTTGCATTCTTAGTTACTTGGTAAAAGAATCATGATCAGTCTAATTTAATCCTAGTAGATTATAAGCCCAATGTTTTTGTTTTGCTTTGCTATTTTTCTGGCACCCAGGGAATTTTTTATCACGCAAATTTTAATGACTGATAATGATTACAATTAATCAAATAATCATCACGTTTTCATTCAAAAATGTTTCTCACCACTGTCACCATTTTAAAGTATTTTGCATATCTTGGATCTTGGGAAACTGTCATTTTTGGTTTTTCTGGCTGTGGTTCCTGAAATAAAAGAGACAAATGACATAAATATCCATTTATTGCACCACTGTGACAAAACACCTTCATCAGCATTTTTATGAGGAGATAATTTACATTTGACTTTTGTTTCATATAATAATATATGTCAATTCATCTTAACATAAGAAGGGTCAAATGTTGCCAAATCTCATCTGATTCATAGTTAGAGTTTGAACTTTTAATAATCTACATGTGTAATTATTGTTTGTTCAGGGGTGACTCAGGATATGGCTGTGAGACATGAAATTGGGACTGAATTGCTTAAAACCTCTTGTCAACATGATATCAGGTTTATTTATGTAGTGATGGAAATATCTGGTATACCTCAGTCTGTGCTGGTTGTTCTGCATTGGGTGCTGCTGTTGGTGCAGCAGAATCCCCTGCTGGTGGTGGTGCTGGTGGTGCCACTGGTGCTGTACCTGGTGGTGCTTGTGTGTCTGCTGTTCCAGAAGAGGGTGCACTACTGGCTGGGGCTGTTATGTTCTCCAGGCCAGGAATGGAAGATATCTACCCAAAAATAACTGACTGATAAAATATTTAATCTGAACAATTTACTGTCACAATACCATATACCCTGGATTTATGGCTCAAGTGTTATTAAATATATTAATAAATGATATATCAATTTTAGTCATCATACATTTTAAAACAGTCTATCTGTTCTTGTTATATATAAAAACTAGGAGAACAGCAAAAGTCCAAAACAATGGTAATTATGTATTTTTAGTGTTGTATTGCATACATGATACAACTATATGTAGGCATGACAATATCATATCCAGTATAAGTTTACCTTTGTTTCCAGCATGTTCATAGTTGTCTCTAACCTCTGGATTCTAGTTGACAGATGCATAAGCTTTTCTTCACAAACACATGAAAACCTGTTAAGAAATCTTGATGTGTGGATGACAAAATGGTTAAGGAATGCCACTGTTCTTTTATGGTGAATTGCTCCGACCTAGAAACAGAAACAACAACTATAAGTACCAGCTGAGTACTATAGCCTCTATTACTGAGGAAAAGGGGAAAACTGAGACAAATGCACAACTGAGCACCTTACTAGTACATTAGTACTAGTTATCAATTTGATCTTGTGGGCTAAGTAAAACAAAATATACTTTAGAGCAGTTGCATTAGACTGCTTTCTGACTTTCAAGTATATATATATTTTTTAATTGTGTGTGGGTGTGTGTGTTGGAGGGGGTGGGGACAACTTGGAAGGTTGGGTGTGCATGCACACACTTGTCTGTCACCACCATTGGTTAACTAGGAGTAACTGTGACTTGTATCCAGCGCCAGAATGCAGAGCCGGTGGAACCAGATGAGACAGGTCGGCTCTGTCATGAGTACCGCCAGCGTACATGCTGGTGGTACTAATAAATCTAAAAAAACCATATAAAACTACTTTTAAATACCACAGTTATCCAGGTAGATTAGTGAGGTCTTTAGTGGTGGCAGCCTTGTATAGATATACATCTTTGGTATACAAATTTGCAGCATACTCAAGTTCTTTCATGTTAGGATTTTAACTCTTCTTGTGTAAAAAACAATGGCCCAAAATAAGTTTGATGTCCGACAAAGATATAATACAGGTCACACAATACCTGACCTACCAAAGCCCTTCAGATATATGTGGTGAATATATACAATATAGTTTTTCAAGCATACTGAAAGTTAAACATATTTAAGGGGTTGAATTCTAAAATGGGCAATACACTGGACAAAACAAGTCTAGTCCCAAGTAAAAACACAGGAAACTGTCATTCACAAGAAAAGAGGGTAATTTAAAGGCCAAATATATTACCAAAAGTGATTGAATAATTAGCAACTCTTCATATGAGATTCAAAATTCTGCAATAAATACCTTGTAAACAACACAAAGAAATATAATAAATCGTTTTTTACTACCAAAACCACAGTTATTATAATTTTCTTGAACATGTCAACCTTCATAGATGACTACCCTCAGTAATAATCTCGAGATTAATACAAAAAAAACTAGAGGATCAGAGAGGCGATACCGCCTCCGAATATTGTACCACCAGCTGGAGCAAGCGCATTCGTATAGACCCCCACATACACAAAATAAGGGACACAGCCACCAGTTTTGTGCTTGACAAGCTGTAAAAATGCAATCAACAAGAATTTTTAAACTATTGCAAAAAATATATATGGTACAATCAAATTTAAGTTCTTCATAAGGTAGGTCAAGGGTCAATTTCAAGGTCACAGTAAATTGCCAGTATATGACTTCCTATTCAAGTTCAAGAGTAACTATGGACCTATCTCTGTCAAGTTTGAAGTTAAAAGAGAAAGAAATTAGCAGAGTTCAGTTCATGATAAAAAGTAGGT